AAACGGAGAGAACTTTTTGAGGAGAGAGAAGACGGGGGGAGAGAGAGTGGTTAGGCTTCAGAGGAAGGAGACGCAATGTCTGAGGAAACCGGATGGGGGTAGGGTCATTTTATAGTGAAAGATTGGAGACAGAGAAGGGATAGCGTGTGCGTGCGAGGAAAAAGCTACGCTCCTTTTGGGCGCTTGATGCTCCAAGCTGAAGCACTTGCGGAGGATACTGCTCTCTAATCACTTCCTGCCACGTATGTACGGCCTTTACTTTCATTCTATTTGGTCACCCTTCTAATTTTAACCAACACAACAAAATTATACCTTCAGGAAAATATTATAATAAATCAGTAATCATATTTTGTTGTCTTTTCTTGCATATATTTAAGTCTTTACTATGTGCCTGCTTACAAATAAGATTAAAAAAGTACTCCCTCTATTTTTATTATAAGAGACAAATAACTGAATTACGTTGATAAAAAGGCAGTTAAAATTAGTTAAGAACAATCAATGTGTGAAAAAATATAATTTTTTTTTTCAAAAATGCCCTCATTAATAAGGAGAGAGAGCAATTAAATTATTGAAAGAAAGAGAAGTGGAAAGGAGAGAGAGTGTGGGTTTGAGATAATAAATATGGGTAAAATAGGAAATCAACACAAAAAAGTAGAGACAACTTTTAAACATCTCTTATATATAGAAATATGTCATAAGTATCAAATGTCTCCTATAATAAGGAACGGAGGGAGTATAAAATAGATAATCATCATGCATAAATTTCTTTTCTTGAACTGGCCAACTAATTTTTCTAATATGTCATGACCATAAATTTTCTTAATACCAAGAGAATAGTAAACTTGAGTTCATATTCAAATTTTTTTTAAAAAAAGAGAGTTCATATTTTGTAAATAAAATTGTAATTGCTTTTGAGCTATATAAAACTCTCTAATGTTAGTGAATTTTTGGGATATAAATCACATAATTTTTCTCCTGAAAATTTCTTTTAAGAGAATGGATGCCATTTTCCATTATACCCTATTTTGAGGAGCCGGACAACACCAAAAAGGAAAAAGATGATGTGAAGGAGGGAAGAGTTATTGGAAGGTGATATGATATGATGATGTGAATTGGGAAGAAAAAATGGCAAGGCGCCACGTACTGGGAAACGCGTGGTCCATCAGAAATGCGTGTGGGCTCACACACACACGTGCCAAGCACCTCTCTCTCTCTCTCTCTCTCTCTAAAATCCAATCCAATCTCAAAGGAAGCGGGACGATGATGAAATATTCCGCTGAGTCAGTCAACGAGGGATTTGACCGCTTTTGCTTTCCCCCACACACCCACACAGATAATAATAATAATAATATATTAATATATTAATGTTAATATTGAGAGTATCACATGAAAGCCCGCGCGCCGCCCCAGCCCACCCAGTGGGGCCCACAGGGAGTAATTGCGCGGAAGGAGGAGGAGGAGGAGGGAATCCACGTAGCCGCGCTGTCGCGTCAACACGTGGCCCCCTCAAAAGGCGGCGTCATCCGTTAACGGCGGTTATGACGTGTCGGCCTCTGACGAGATGCTGTATGAAACGGAACATGGGAGTTAGCGTGACGGCAGTTAAGGTGTGTGGGTACCAAGTTTCAGGTTCCGACATTTGTCGGCAACACTAGAGGTTGCGTGTGAAGTCGGCATTATTTTGAACACAAAAAGTAAAAGCGAAACAAAGACAAGTTTTTTTCATTCTATTTATTCATACCATATTATTATTTTTTATATGAATATAATCTTTTAATTTTTAATATAAGACTGATTTAAAATTAGAGAGTTGTTCAATTTAAAGATAAAATTAATAAGATTTAGAATTTTTTGTGTCTTGAGGAAACATAGTGAAAATATCTCATATAAACCCATATTCTTAACTAGATATCATTTTTAAAGGTAGGAGCACAATATTTTTGGTTATATACAAATATTTTTATTTTATGCTTAACTGAAAAATTGATTTCACGCGACTCTTTAAACAAGTTCAACATATTTATGTACAATTAAATTTTAATTGGCATTTTTCGTCAGTTTTTTTTTAAATTTTAATTAAAGAAAAAGGACGGGCACTCTCGCAGGCTCACTCGGTGGATCGGACGGATGAGAATGGATGGGGGTGGATGAGAATGAGATGTGGACACGTCCCCCGCAAGGAGACACGAGTAGCCGCCCCGGGCCGCCCTCCCAGAACACGAGAAGGGGGGGCCTTGGATTTCGTCAAGAGGCGGACTCATTCTGGCATGCATGTGAATGCTCATCATCAAACAAACTGGGCTCTCTCTCTCTCTCTCACAAACAAACAAACAAATAAAAAATAGTGAGAATGACAGCTCATCACCAACTGCACAAACATTTTCTATTCTAAAATTCATTGTATAAGGATATCTAAAATATGTTTAAAAAAAAAGAATTACAATAAAATCTAAAAAAAATAATTATAAACAAGTTTCAAAATTGTCATTTTTACTGTTTAAATTGTTATTAGAACTTTTTAGTAATTTTTTTCTTGAATAATCGTTATAATTTCCCTTAGAAAATCTTCATATAATATATTTTTAATTAGTGCAACTCTTTTTCTTGATACATAAATTCACACAAACCTAGATGAAGTGGCTTTCTGAGCTCACAATCACCTATAATAGGCTCATTCTCAATCACTCTATTTATTTGATTAATAATTTATTATGTTTTTTGGTGGACACACTATGATTCCGCTAAAACAACTTCTCTTGGTAATCTGAATCATTATTCAGTCCTGTTTATCGAATTTCTTATCTTTTTCAGAGACCAAAGTAACTTTATTGACTCAATTATTTTTGTACATGAATTTCTGATGACCACCCATTACAAGTTTATCCTAACATGACTATCAACGAATAGCTTTGATGTCTGTTTGTTGCCATTGCAAAAAATCTTATTTAACAAAGAAATCACCAATCACTTGACCACCAAAATTTGCGGACTCAAAAGTCGTTTCAAAAAGTCACTTTGTTGCCAGAGAAAATCTCATATCTTCAATAAATTATCTGATTCTCCTCGATGGAAATCTGAAAATTGCACCAATATATGTCCATATAAGCTCTACGATTTGAATAACCTCATATTTGGATTCTCTTTCCCCAGTGGCCTCTTAAGTAAAGTCCTTTATTTTTTCTTTCGAACTTTGTGATAGTGACAAAAAACATTTATAAACATATTTCATATAAGTTGAAACAAAATCCTTCTTGCATATTTAACTTGTATTCCATCAATCACGTTAAAAAACTGCTTATAAGTTATTCCAAATAGATCCTAAATGCTTTCCGAACAAGTTGACATACCAACATCATACATGCACACACAACGGTGACTTCCCTCTAAACTTAAATTATAGAAAATAGTCTCCACAAGGACACATCTTTCTAAATTTTTTTACTAGGCCTAAATAACAACCACACACACATCAACTCATGTTTGCATGAGGGTATTTTTGGCTCAATAGAGAGACGAGAGAGGAGGAATTTTAATGGAGGAAAAGGAGATGAAAGGAAGATAAAGAATTTTAATATTACCTTATTTGAATTAATACAAAGGTAGGGAAGGCATTTTAATGTCTTGTTTAGTTTAGAAAAAGAGGGGAGGCAATATTTTTGTATGGACAACTTTGTCCTTATATTATTTACGTTGATTTTTACAAACTTTATAACATAATTAATAAAATATAATTATAAATAACATTTAATAATATGTGATATTAATTTTTTATAATTAGCAAAATTAAATAAATATAATAATACACAATTAATAGCTAATATATATCAACAATTATAATTGTATTTATATCCAAAATTTGGTCTAATGAAATAAATATGTTTAATTTGAGTATGTTTCTTCCAACTTCCATTTTCCTCTGTGTTGTTGATATGAATAACCAAATAACTTTTTTAAAGATGACATAGATGACTTATTTATATGTTTTTGTTGATTTGCATTTGGAAATTAAAATATATTTGATAGTAACTTTTTTTTATATTTGATAGCATGTAAATGGAGGAAGAGAGGCATGATTGAATCCACAAACATACCAAATCACATGCAATTCGACGACAAAAGGTAACATGAGATTATTAAAAAAATAATATCAACATATTAGCCAATACAAACGAAAATATTACTCTTTCCTTCAAAATTCTCCCAATTTCAAACAGGAGGCATATGAGGGGGGAATGTTAAAAAAATTTCCCTCACTTCCTAAAATATTTATCTTGCCAAATAAGAAAAAATGATCAAAATCCCTCTTGTAAGAAGTAGAGCTCACGTTACTTGAACAAATAAATAAAGTAATTGTTTTACGGGATAAGATTTTTTCTCTTTTAAAAAAGTACGCAAATGAAAAAGAAATATTAACATAACAATAAAACTCTCCTATTCTTCCTTCCTTTCTTTGTTTTTGTTTTTTGTTTTTTTAAGCGGTTCCATACATCAGAGGCACTAGAGCCTGAAAAGGACAAAGAAAGGGGGCTTAAGTGCCATGGCATCTTCTAAAAGAATAAGAGGGCCTAGAAGCGACCAATACCGAAGCCTAAACAGTTTCTCCATTTGAAATCGGTAATAGATTGCCGTTATCCATACCAATACCTTTGCACAAGAATATTTCTAACTTCAGGCTTATTCTAATTTTAACGATCCCCGAAATAATCCAGTGGTTTGTTCCCACAAGGCCTACCTACGACATCAACCCATTTTTGTCTCAGGTCCTGAAGGGATTAAAAATCCCGAGTCCCTACTAAAAAGGATAAATCCTGCTAAAAGATTGGCAAAGTGCACAAGTTACATCTGATTACAGCTGCATCTTTAATCATCCTCCCCTTTGATATTTGAAGGTGGAGGATGGAAGAAACTTGCATTCTGAAAGGACTCTTCTATAATTCTCTTTGAATGAATGAATCACCTTCCATTCAAAAAGATAAATCCAATCCTCAAGCGAAAAAAGGTATAAGGACTTGTGCAGAATGATAATTACTCTGAAACATCTAATAAAATAGTTTTTTTAATCCCTATCACAGATCAAAGCCATTCATGCATATCTAGCGTTTTACCCGTATATAGGGAAATAATTACTCTGAAACATCTGATAATGACATGGTGCCAACATTGTCTTCAGTTCCAACATTACTGGACCCACTTTCTAGCACTAAGGCTTTAGTACGATACCATTGCATATATTTGCTCAAGGCAACACATGCAATGACCACACCTTTTGCATAAATTAGAATCTCTCAGCCGTCATCACAACAGGTTGAGCTTCCGCATGCCTTTTACCAAGATATGGACCCATTCCAATAGCTTCCTGCAGCTGCGTATGACAAGATATGGCCGATTGAGTTGGTTTAGTTAGGTCAAGATTTATGATCTTCTTTTGGCATATCACATGTGCGTTACATAATCGTTCTTTATTTTTCAAAACTCGAAAAAAACAACACAAACTTTAGAAGCTCATATAGTGGCTGGGGATCTGCCTGGAATATGAACCCTATAAAAGGCCACATCCAAGTTGATCCCCCACCAAAACATGCCCAGACAGTAGTGGTAACGAAGAAGATTTAGTTTCTAACCTTTGCATCTATTGCTGCTAGAGCAGGATCAACGGATAGTTTACTTGACTGCATCAGTGCTTTGTGTATAGCCTTGCAGCAGTTATATCTAGCTTCCATGCCTGAAGTTCTCAGTTGTCTTAATGATATGATGAAAGGGGAAAAAAAAAAAAAAATTGTAGTAGGAAGCTGCCAAAATCATACACACACGTACACATGCGTGAAAATGAGGAAAACCTAATACCAAGACAGGAGAAACATAACAGGCAAACATCAATTTTAAGCCTTAGTAATACCATTGATTAATTTACTATTATATTAGCCCCTATTGATTTTTGCTTGACTTCTCCTTTATCGCATGATCCATTAATTTTAAGATGTATCATGTGGAGAAAAGAGAACTCTCCTATATGTAGTAGTAGCGTCCCCAACAACGGGGTTCAGTATACATAAACAATTCAGGCCAAAAAAAAGAGTATACATAAAAGAATTGCTTACCTAATATTCTATCAGAAATTATTATTTAATTTTTCACATCTCAAGAATAACTATAGCCAATCCCACAATCACATGGTACGGCATGTTTTTGTTCAAAAAACTTGTTACATTGCCCAACGCAGGGTTAGTTATACCCGTCACAAGAGGCAGATTAGTTACATTGCCAAAGGCAGGCTTGCCATGGGAAAACTCTGTTTAGCTCAAAAGCTAAAAAATGCAAGTGAAGGTTCATTAACTTAGAATAATTTTTAAGCCACTCCCAATAAAAGTCTAATAAGTTTGAACTATGAACAAAACACCATCATGCCTAGGTCTGAAATTTTAATTTTCATAATTGAGAGTATGGACAAAGTATCTTGTTTGATTATAGAGAGTAGAGACTCTGATACCAGACCTGAACCAGCGAAACCAGCATGCTAAATGGTTCAGGCCAGGTTTGGGCATTTTTTAAGGCCAACTAGAGTAATTTTTTCTTAATTACTTTGTTGTAATATTTTTAAATTCTATCTTGATCTTTCTTAGTTTTCCTTCCTTCTACTTTATCGTTTCTTCCCAAATAGAATTTGGAAGTCAATTATTAACACAAGTTGAAGGAAGAACAAAATATTCAGGGTGGTTATCATTATAATTGAAACATATAAATGAGGTTTAGTATGACAGTTATTGCTAAAGTTGGCTCCCATGGAATCTTTTAAATACCTACAATTATATGAATTACCAGATATGAAAATGCATTGTAACAAGAGCTACAACTGTCCAAACTGGAAACAGACCTATTTTGTGGTTTCAGTACTTGGGTCAGTCACCATCTGTATTATCTCTTGTTTTGAGCAGATCTCCATCAAACACCATGATCGAGCAACTAATCCACTTATCATTCTGTAGCCCTGACAATACATTACAAAATGCCAAATCACAATTTTATGATAATTCTGTAGCGCCAAGTAGCAAGTTTCATGTTAGCACCACTGCTTCTCATCACTAGAAAATCATGGAATTTGTGAAGATGTTCTAGTCTAAATGCTTCATCCTTGAATGTTGAGTACCTGCCTTTATGGATGCCTAACATATCATTGTAGAAATACTTCTAACAGATCCACTTCTGAACTATAGCAGGAATTGGCTAATGAGTTTGGCTAGAAAATAGGGATACATCAATATCAAACTTTGAAATTCAGAGACCAACTTCTAAACTCTAAATCAATACAGGAGAAAATCCATTAGTGTTATCCCAAGTGAAACCTTAAATACTTTTTCTTTTTCCCCCGGTGTCATCATTTACAAAACTTTGCAATAGAAAAGTTCCCATGAATGTCTCACCGCCAATCGGATTTCTGAATCCTGCTGCAGGACTGATAGGAAAAGACCCTACATAAAACATGAACACTATCAGCTAAATCTCAATTACCAGAAAAACTGAGCGACAAACAAGTGACAGACATATAAGCCAGCTGAATGAATCTTATAACCCTCTATTATTCTTCTAAATCGCGATATTATGGAAAGAAGGAAAGTACATCATGCACTGATAATGAATTGCCTTATTTCATTTACTTGAAAAGAAATGTGGCAAGAAAAAAGTGCGAGGAGTATAATACTTTTTCTGTTAATATTCAAATCACAGAAAGTTATAATGAAGGTCAAATCAACATGCAGCTGATTTAATGCACCAGTAAGAAGAATTGAAGTTTTGAAGCTACAAATGCATTAGAAAAAATACCGATGGTGTAAACTTTAAGCTCCTGGATGCTACTTCATAAACTAAACGTCGCAAGTTTTCTTCTGCCTCAGAATTGAGTATGATGTTATTTTCAGACCGAGTTTCTCCACAGATGTTTCCTAGAGCATGCAAAGCAGCCTGCAATTGCCAATTAAACCCCAACACCCCCCCCCCAAAAAAAATCAGAAGCATAGCTAGTTTGAAAGAGACGCAGCATGACTAATACATCTTCCAAATTACTTTTCCGGTCTTAAATGTAAGACCCTGGAAATTCCAGCTTTATCAATTATCTTAAAAACAGCCATTGCTTTCGAGTAAAAACTAATGCCTTTTCTCTTAAAACGTTCCTAAATAAATCCCTAGAGGTGTCCAGTTATCAGTTCTTACTCCTTGCAAACTGGAGATCAGCATTTTTAATAATAATAGGTGATGATTACAAAAACCAGCTAGGAATAAATCCCATTTGGATCTTTTTAATGTATCTCTGAATGTGCGGGGAAACTATTTGATTGTGAGAACCACTGAATAATGGAATCCAGTATCCACACACTACAGGCACAGGTTCGGCCTTGGGGGCTATTTGCTTCTTGACATTCTTAAGTGATTCAAACATGACATACATTCCATATTCACTGAAAAATACAAAACAAAAG